CATACATACATACATACATACGTACATACATACATACATACATACGTACATACATACATACATACACTGTATATATATAGATTTGAGTCATAGTCATGAATAGCGATGGATCTCCCAATCCATTGTCTACATCATATTAAATAATCCTAGTGGCTTATTAAGAAATACAGGAGAATGGGCTTTAGAGAATAATTTACTAAGTTATTGATTTGTACTGCCTGTTAATTTAATTGTGTTTTTTTTTTTTAATTGAAAGGGAATGGTGCATTTTCTCCCCCTCCATCGCACCCATTAAATCGCCCTTCAAAGCCTCGGCGATCTAAGAAAGGTCAGTACAGTATTTCATAATGTTGATATCTTGTATTGATCAGGATAAAAGGATTGTCTTTCTTTTTATAATTTGTATGTATGTATTTATATATAATATTTATTAAAGATTTGCAAAGAGATCAAAGACGAAAAGGTAGTAATCTAAAATAAGATTAAAGAAAAGAAAAAGAAGAAATAATGTGAAGTGTGGAGAGAAAAAAAAGAAAAGAAAAACCATTTCCAATCTTCGATCAGGCAGACACAAACCTATCCTCTCATCTCCCTCCTTAACATTATATCATCATTCCACTCGTATTCGACCTTTTTAAATCAGTAAATCCATAAAACATCTATTTATTTATTTTTCATTTTTAGCAAAAAGTCCATAAAAGGTTTCCAATCTTCAACAATAGTGCTAACTGGGTGAGCAGCATTGTGGCTTAGTGGTGAAGAGGCTCACCTCCCAGTCGGAAGGTTGAGAGTTCAATCCTAGGTAGCAGCAGATGGTTCTCCCTCTAAGGCATAAAGAAAAAATATCTGCTATGAACTCTGCATGGAAGAGAATAGAAAGGCATTTGGCCAATAAATGCTCAGCTGCATTTAGTCATCCTGACTCTACCCCGAATTAAGGGACTAGAGGGTCATCTTTTATGTGAATTCTGCATGTCCATAAGTTGGCTGGAACTGTATATTTTCATAGGACTTGTGTAAGTGTTTGCATTTAGCCAGATCATTCCACCACTTACCAATATAAACCTTCTTCTTGGCTACTGCCTTGCTTAAGACACACTGGCAAGCAAACAAACATAGCTCACTCATAATACCTTTTGTCTCCCCAGCAGAATCAATCAGGGTGGAAGATCAGGTTCCTGATTTAGGTAAGTTTTTCTTGGTACTCCTAGGTCAGGGGCAGGGGTGAAATCCTCCCAGTTTGGCCCAGTTTGGCTGAACTGGTAGGGACGATTGTCCTCAGTTCTTCAAACGGGTAGTAAAAAAAAGTTTCCGAGGATTGCATGGCTCAGCAGTAGGCTGAGGTGAATAGGTGCGGGAAAAGATGTTTTTAAAAGTGGGGGTGGGGCTTGTGAAAGAAAGAAAGAAAGAGAGAGAGGGGGGGACGGAGAGAAAAAGGAGAGGGAGGAAGGACCACAAACCTGGCACTAGCTTCAGAGGATACCTTGGAAAACAACAGCAATCCAGGGTTGGAAGGGATCTGGAGGTCATCTAGTCCAGGGGTCGGCAAACTTAAACACTCAAAGAGCCATTTGGACCCATTTCCCACAGAAAAGAAAATACCGGGAGCCATAAAGATCCTAACCGGAAGCCCCCTATTCAATTCTGGAGCTGACCGGAAGTTCAGTTCCATCACCATAGAGTCTCCTCCTAGCGCGGCGTACTTTTTCCTCTACCTGTCATAACCAAAAGCCCTATCAAAGCCCTTCGGATGGTCACTCACGCCCTCGTCACCTCAAGACTGGATTACTGTAACGCGCCCTACATGGGGCTGC